AAACCCGGGAGGTTCTTAGTAAGTGAGGTCACTGACGGCGAGTTCTAGAATGCGGAGTCGCGCTGGGCTCTTTCCGTTCTGAATCGAACTGCTTTGAAAAGCGGATCTCCAGTTTGGTCAAATTGGCATTTCTTTCCATCCAAAATTTTCGGTTGCCGCTTTCAAGCGCTTCAGGTGAAGCCGACCCGCGATTTGTAAGCAAGCAGCCGTAGATTCCGGAGGAGAAATAATGCATGGCCTCTTTGCCCTTGTTTAAGTACGTACGCGGCAGCGAAAGGATGAAATCGGGCTTTAATTCCTCGAAACTGGCATTTTCATTCGCATTCCCCAATTTAGCTTTAGTTAATAAGGCCACCCGTCTTGAGTTTTGGCTAGTGTTCGGCCTCTCCCCGTCTGTGTAATAAAGGCAATAAATATTGATTTATTGGGCTCTTCCTGGCCACTCGTGGGTAAGAATATCAAGATAGAATTGATGGTCCTTAATTGATTTTCCTTGAATTGATGTGTCTATTTTCATTTACATGCCATGGTTATCTGGCAAAATAGGGAGCCATCGCTATTAGGTTTTTACTTGCATGTGTGTATGCCTATAGAAAAATGTATGGGGTGAATGTACCGTTTTCCCCAAAATAAGACATCCCCTGATAATAAGCCCAATTGGGCTTTTGAGCACATGGCAATAAGGGCAAGCATTTATTTCAGGGTTCAAAAAAATATGAGAGTGAGTCTTATTTTGAGGGAAACCAGGTATATAGTACTCCTACCTATTTTCCTATAGGTGAAAATCCTATAAGTGGGCTAGAAGAGAAAGGGACTGGTCACCTATCCAGCTTTCTTCCTAAGGAAGGCCTAAACTCCTGGTTTCTAGGCAGCTCCTTCAAGCACTACACTAAATTGGCTCTCATATTTCATAATTTTTTGCAATACCCTTCCAATTAACGTATTTCTGATTTGTTGCTGCTTGCAGGTGCTGAGAGTACTGGCTCTGTTATCATCTAGTTCAGAAGCAAAGATAGGAACCAACCTTGACTAGACCTTAAGACCTCGAGTTGACACAGGGTTTAAAATGCACAGGACACCGGTGGGATAACACTACCTGAGTTTATACATCAGCTATATCAAATCAAATAAAGCATATTTTAGTTTAATGTGTTGAGGGAATGCAGACAACTGTGGCTTCATCAACATTTATGATTTTAAAAATTATAGCTTTATCTAGTCAGAAGTAAGAACTAGATTGCTGTGTTTAGGGCCAGACTCCAAGTCTTCAAAAATGAAGACCTTATTTGTTTAAATCAATGCCTAGGAGTTGTGACTGTGTTTTTTTAAAAAATGTGATTAGTAAGTCATGGAGTAACATTTTGAATACTGTGTTCTATATTTTAAACAGTATTTCCTAATGTTACTATTTCTAGTTTTGCATTACAGTAAATAATCACGCTCATTGTTCCCATTCCTTCTGCGGAAATTTACGATACAAAGCACACTATCTGGCACTTGATATTCTTCCAAGACATACAGTATTGCTGTTTGTTTGTGTTAGAAGCATCACAATTAAAATAAAGCATACTATATGACATAAAATTTAAAATACAAGATTAAAATATGTACAATTTAAACAGATCTTGCCCAGAAACTAGCAATATTAATTGCACTGTCACACTGCCGTGAAGTCCTCAAGTCAACAAGATGGATTTGCTGATTTTTCTGAATCATGCAAAGCTGATCAGCCAATCATGCCCGAATGCCAAAAGTGTGATCATGTGACTGTAGGGGAAGGGGCGACTGTCAGAACTTTGAATCTGGGTTGTAAGTACTGGTACCCCCCAGGTAATTCCATCAGAACTTCAAACGCTAAGCAACTGGTCATAAATTAAAGACTGTCTGAATGTATAAAATTACATACCTCAAAGCGCTATAGACATTTGATGCAAGTTAATCATCCTAACCATTCCCCCTTTTGGTCTTTGTGTTTTTTAGCACATCATGACATCACCCGTGAAAATACCGTATTTTTTGGATTATAAGACGCTCCAGACTATAAGGCACACCTAGCTTTTGGGAAGGAAAACAAGAAAAAAATCTGCCTCTGCCTCCCAGCAATTTGCCACCTTGCAGCAAACAGCAAACAGCCTGGTCAGCTTCAGCACAGCCTGATTTAGCACGAGCAGCTGATTTGGCAGTTGGATCGGCTTCCCTGAATACCGCCGATCAGCCGCTGTCGCCGCCCATCGCTGCCGCTGCCTATCACCATGTCTGCATAGCCCATTTTTGGCGCGTTTTCAGCCTGTTCCATGCAGCAGGGATCTCCACCGCCTATCCCCACTGCCTGGAACAGGCTGAAAATGGGGCGTATGGAGGCCTAAAACGGGACGAGCATAGGCCGAAATGGGGTGCGCGAGGCGGCCACAATCCCCGCAACCTGGAATAGCTGATTGGTGGTATTCCGGGAAGCTGATCCAACCGCTAATCAGCTGCTCGTGCTGAATCAGGCTGTGCTGAAGCTGGCCAGGCTGTTTGCTGTTTGCTGCAAGGAGGCAAATTGCTGGCAGGCAGAGGCTGAAGGGTGGGGGCCGGCGGGTGGGCAGGGCTTCGGCAACATTAGCTCTATAAGACACATAGACATTTCCACCCACTTTTGGGTGGCGGGGGAAGTGCATCTTATACACCAAAAAATACGGAAGTATCTCCAACTGGATGCTTTCCAACCCATCTGGATTTATTCAGCAATAGGCTGAATAAATCTTGTATTACCCATCTTGTCAGTTCTAAAGTTCATATTCTCAGGATTCTGTATACGTAGTCGACTTACGACCATGATTGAGCCCAAAATTTCTGTTGCTGAGTTGTTAAGTGAGTTTTGTGCCATTTTACAACCTTTCTTGCCATAGTTGTTCAGTGAATCAGTGTGGTTAAGTTAGTAAAGTGGTTGTTAAGTAAATTTGGCTTCCTCATTGACTTTGCTTGTCAGAAGGTTGCAAAGGGTGATTACATGACTCCAGGACACTGCAGCCATCATAAATGAGTCAGTTGCCAAGCATCTGACTTCTGACCCCATGACCATGAGGATGGCACAATGGTTGTAAATGTGAAAAATGGTCGTAAGTCCCATTTTTCAATGCCATTGTAACTTTGAATGGTCACTAAATGTACTGTTGTAAGTTGAGGACTACCTGTACTGAATAAACCCATTGCCTAGATTCACATGATTCATTGCAACTAACTATACTGCAACATAGTATTCTGAACTATAATCTAGCCAACCACATTTTAGTCTAGCATGTTAATTAGCTCACCCTACAGCTACACAATCTTCTTGCTCCTACTTATTATAGTTATATATGTCCCTACATACACCAAAACATCTTGGTAGAGTTAAACCAGTGTTTTTCAACTTTGGCAATGGCAACTTGAAGAGGTGTGGACCTCATCCCTCAGGATTTCTCAGCCAGCTTTGGTTGGTTTAAACTATAGTCAAGATGCCTTTCAGCCACATGTAAGGATTTGATTTTTTTCTACCATCTGTCAAATTTATTTTACCTTTCAGTCCACATCCTTGATGCCACTTTTTATTCAGAAAGAAGTGGGCAACCATTTATGGATTGCAGTGCAAGGCTATGAAGAGTTTGTTCAGAAACCCACCATCATTCTCTGCCTTTTTTCTTGTGTTCTTTCACTAACGCAGATAGATATACACAAAATCTAATTCAAGATTGAATACAATAGCAAATTAGGCTGGAAAACAATTAAATGTGTAGAAAAAAGTACTATTCCTCTTCATGTGTAAGTTAATTGGAGCTGAACAAAAAGGTTTCTAAGCCAGGCCTAGTGCCTCCACCTCTCCTAGGGCCCTATTCCTACGTAAAAGTGAAGAGCTGAGGGGAATCATTTGCGCGCTCTACTTCTGGTGAATGAATACACACTATCACAATGAGCTGCTTAACTTAAAACTTAACCATCTCTACAAATCAGGAGTACCCAAATATCTATCTTATCTGCTAGCTCTAATTAGGTATTCTCAAATCTGGAGCAACTACACATGAAAGCAACCTGAACCCCATCTCCTGTCCACACCGTCCAAATGATGAGGATTTCTTACAGAACGTCAGAGAGCAACTGTTTATAGAAGACAATATCCTTTGAACTGATATTTTGGCTTCCACGAGACACAAGATGATGTCGCTGCACATCCCTTTTCACGTAGCAGACAATCCACTGAGAGCTGTATGCGTGAAGGCTTTCTTCTAGTCCTTCAAACTCATGCAAATGCATTCAGAAGGTTCCTAACTCTTGAGATGGGGGCATTTTGTCTTTGACAAATATGTAGTGCTTATTATCATAACTATAGACAATTTGTTAGAATTGCTGACAGTAGCTAATATAAATCACCACCAGAGAAGAAAGTCTCAAGGTACATATGCCCTATATCTAGGGGTGGGCTTCAAAAAATTTAGCAAGGGGTTCTCTGCCCGGTTGCTGGGTGGGCGTGGCCTAGTCAGCCTCCTGTACCATGGTGGGGGGCCATTTTTGCATTCCCCAGGCTCTGGAGGCTTTCCTTGAGCCTCCGGGAGGGTGAAAACGGCCTCCCCAGGTTCCAGAGGCCCTCTGGAAGCTGGAAACTGGCCCATTTCCAGCCTTCCCAAACTTCCGGTAGACCTGTTTTTCGCCCTCCCAGAGCCTCAATGCGCCCCCTGCATTTACCTGCATCCAAAACGGGAGGGAGGGGCAGGGTGGGCGGGGCCAGGCAGGAGTGGGATTTGGAGGTTCTCCAAACTGCACAGAATCCCAGCAGCCCATCCCTGCTATATCAGTAACCCATGCTCTGATCACCACTCAACTGGGTGACTATAATTTCAATTCTGAATGGAATTTCCTCTGAAGAAGACATAGCAGCTCTGGCTGGCATATAATGCAGCAGGTGGACTTTTAAGCGGGACAATTCCAGCAGTGCAGAATTATACTTATATTAAATTCATTGCATCGATCACCCAAGATTTCCATTGAAATTCAAAATGCTGGTTGTTTTATTTAAAGGCCTACACTGCAGAACTTAAATGCATCACACAACATCTTGCCAGAGCCAGTTCAGGCATTTGGTCCAGAGGGTCTGCTAAAACAAGATACACAAGATATGATTCTTCTCTGATAACCCCCACCCTTTGAAAAATACCCTTGTGCCTATAAGTATGTGCAACTCCCATTTTTCAGAAGCAGCTCAAAGACGTGTTTCAATGAGCCTTTGGTTCCAGTTGACTCTTACGGGTGCTGATCTGAATAGTTTTGCTCTTTGGTGATGGGCATTTTTTTAAAATCTTCATATTTGTTGCTCCTCTGGGACTGGGAGAGATTATAACCACTATAAATATTTACAAATATATACATTATATTTCTATGCATATATTGCATACATCATTTTGCCAAGCAAAGATGTTACATGAAATCTTTTAAAATTCTGTTAACACAAATAATTTTATTGCTTTTGTTTCCAAACTGAAATAATTGAAAATGCAAAATATTTTTTCTCCAATTTCTATGTAAAAATTCTCATGACAGCTACTCTTAAACAAGGAAATATTCAGTGCCTTTTTTCCTAGTAACAGTGCAAGGTTCAACTGCCTTGGAATTTCATAGTAAGGAGAAAATATCAGGATCTGCAGGGGGGAAAAATAGCAACCAAGAATGTAAAATAAACTTGCTGATATAAACTCTTTTAAAAATTGCATCTAGAAGAGATGCTAGAAAGCAAAAATCGTGGCCTTCCACTAACCAAATCCTAAACAAATTAGATAATCTGCAAATAGAAATTAAGTGTTGATATAATTCCACTGATTCTGGCCTCCAACATTTCTTGTAGAAAAAATAAAAAACGTTCTATATATCCAGCTATTCTAATATGTTCCATGTTTGGGTCTCGAACTGAAGATTACTAAGAAAAAAAAAATATTTTTGTCTTTGCTATTTGATGATTCATGAAAGTAGCTTCCAACTTTTACATTCAGCTGATGCCGAAATATATTTTGGGATTCTGCCTAGGCTCAAATTCGTGAACTGTTCCAGATTGGCAGAAATGCTAGTTTAGGTAATAGCAAACTAAAAACAGAGAATTTGTGGATTAAAAGAATAAAATAACTGTGTTTCTAAGCAGAAGAGATTTTGTTGGAATGGTTCTTTCTTTTTAGGCTCTTGCTATATACGTGTCCTACTGGCAGGACAGTACTGTTAATCAGAACTCTGGGCGATATCCTACTGAACAATGTCAAACCCTGAGTAATCTTTTATTTCAACCCACCCATTCATAAAACAGCTTTTCCAAATGATACCCTCAATATCAAGGATAAATATCAATTGGCAATTTGAACTCCTTAAAAGAGAAGAAAGCGAGGTTTCCATTGTCAACTAGAGCAAACACCACCGGAACATCTCCACTTTGATAAGACAGTTGCTTGACAATCTTCAGGGATGGGACCTGCTCATCAAAACTGGAAGAAAAAGAAAAACAACCCAACTTTTTTTTCCTATTTAATAATAATTTAATATTATTATTTATATTTGATAATAATAAATAATAAGAACAAACTAGACACAAGGACAGTTTTTTCCTGAATGCCATCACTTTGCTTAACAATTAATTCCAGCAACACTATCAAATAATTTACTAAGACTGTATTACTATTATTCTTCTCTTCCTTATTAGTATCTATCTCTTCCCATTTATTACTATAAACATGTGCTTCTATTTTTCAATTTATATTATTTTTACTTGTTTCCTAGTACAATTTGATAGCTTATTAGTAACCTTGACTATCACTAAGTATTGTATCTTTTTATTCTTGATGAATGTATTTTATTCTCCTTATGTATACTGAGAGCATATATATCAAAGACAAATTCCTTGTGTGTCCAATCACACTTGGCCAAAAAACAATTCTATTCTAATTTTAAAGAGTCACATCATAAAAGGTATTACTGTATCTGGGGGCAAGAGATGGAACATATCTGTTCCAATGAAACAGGGAACTATTTTTTTTTAAAGAGTTTCAGGTCCCCATGATAAAAGCAAGAATTCCAATAACAGCCAGTATTGTTAGATCCAGTATCTGGAGGATCTAGTTTCTGGGTGGACTGGCATCTGAAGTCCTAAATCTGTTTGGGCAGTCACCTATCACAACAGGTTCATCACAAACAGGACAACTGTTATCTCTTTCTTTCTCTTTTCCATCAAACCAAACTGGACAAGCCATGTAAACACATGAGCAAAATCTATAACAGATTGAAATTAGATTACAAGCAACTATTACCTTTGAACGCACATCCGGACATAAGGCTTCCCAGGATCATTCTTTTTAAAAGTTGAAGCACCATCAGCAGGATACACATCAAAATCTATTTTTAGCTCTGATGAATCATTCTGTAATCTGTGGAGGTTAATCATTAGTACAAAAATTTGGCCATTCTCAGATGTGCCAAAGGAGGAGAAGGAAAAAAAATATATTCAGGTACAGAAAATCTTAGCAGGACTTATAATTAGCCTTCTCCCTATCCTTTAGCAACCCCAAACAGTCAATGCTCAAAGTTGGTGGCACAAAGTCTCACTATTTAAGCCAGAAAGGACATGAAAACTATAGCATAGGTTGCAAACTATTCTTTTATACTAAGAAATCCTCAAATAATTCACTTTCCATTACTGGTTCAACCCTGTAAAAATTCTTTTGTTAGGACTGGGTTGGATGAAGGTGCTTGCTCCTTGAGGGTAGTTTAATGGTGAATTCATTAATTCCTGTGCCTCCCCGTGCCATGTATTCTTCAGTTTTGTTTGCTTTTGTTTTGAGTAATTATTTACCAGATGTTTTACCCTATACTGCAAGCTGTCTTACTGAGGCAGCACAAAAATTGACAATAATAAACCAATTGCCACAGCTGTCAGATTTCCCAAAATGTTACTTTTAAGTCCTCATCCATTGAAACATGATCCCTGAAGGCAATTGGATAATCCATACTGGACATGAACATGTCAGCAAGGAAAGGAAAGTAGCAGAATAGCATATCTGACTCAGGATTAAATTTTTAAATGGCTTTTTAAGAGTGGAATTAAATAGCAAGCAGCGGGAGCGGATGGTGGAAAAAATTACATCCCTTCTCCACAAACACTCAAATGTTTTCAATACAGAGGATCCCATGGGCTTGTTCTCGTGTCCAAAAAAAAAAGGCAGATAGCCAATGGTACACTGAATGACTAATGTAGCATGAACCTCAACTTCACTTCCCAGGCATGTAATTACAGTAAATACCAAACTGCCTCCTTAAACAGGAAAGCATTTGCATCAAGAGAAAAACCAAAACTCAGATAAATTTTAAGATTCCAGATATCTCCATCATTTTTAGCCTAAGGGCAAGAGGATTTCCTAAAAAATATTACATGCTGAAAAAAATTAAAGTAGACTTCCTCAACCTCACCTTCTTCCTTATTAGCTTGGGGACAAGGACAATTCTAGTTCAACATATCTGGAGAATACGAAGTTTGGACAACTATACTTAAGACCAGCAGAGTATGTCTATTTGAATCTGAGACTTATTTACTTTTATTGGCATTTAGTTAAAAGAATTGCAACTTAACAATTAACACTTTACAAGACAAGAGACATGTATCGTGGTGCACTGCATGAAACACCTTCAAAATTGGATGGAATTATTTGCACTGCACAGAGGCTTAGGGGATTTAAGATTAGGTGCTGACCTTTCAAGTAATGCTTCTGACATACAATGTGTCGTGCTATGGATGCTGGGAAAATGATTTGGAAGCAGTCCTTTGGATCACACATGAACACAGCACATTGTTGCTACTCATTAAAGCAGCTGGATTTTTCATGATCCTGTGCGACCCTGAAAAATACTGCTTTAATGAATAATAGAGATGCCACACGCAAATAGGGGCAGAAGAACCACTAGTTCCAGAATGTTTTCCAAGTGTAAACTAATGATTTGTAATGCTTGGAAGTAAACATCCCCAGGTATATGCTATATGAGAAGAACCTATGACCCTCCAGAAGTTGTTGAACCTGAACAGCCAGAGCTCCAACTGGTAGGGTGTTGCAGAGGGCTACAGGTTCTGCATCCTGCTCAATATGACTGTTGCTCATACCTACAATTACTGGGACAGGTTAAAAGCATTTAGCTCATTTTCTGGTTTGATACTTACTGAAATGCTTCCTCCAATAAGCGTGAGGGTTGGAAAACACTGATCTGTTGAAGAATGTCAGCTGGAAGGGAAGGAAAGAAAAAAAATTTGGATTAGGGCCTTCACAAAACATGTCTCTGCTGCCAAGCCAGCTATTCTGGCATTCAGAAATACCCATCACCTTAAACAAGGTGGTATGTATCCTTTTTCAGAGAACAAAAGTCAGATCTTTCTCTCTTTTTCAGAAGCCACGATACCTGTGGAAAGTCCTTGGCTTGGTTTCACAAGTGGGGCGATTGTCTGTATGCAGAGATCTTCCCGATCACTCCTCTCTCTCAGAAGTGCCTTGTACTCTTGCCAGGTGGTGCAACGCCGGACTTCGGCATCCTCATTGACACTGATTTTGTATCTGCTCTCCCACTTCAGCTGTTCCTGTTCCTTGCGGGTCAACCGCTCGTGTTTCTGGTTGAGCCGCCTGCGCCAATGGCTTGCGTCAATTGCCTGTGCTGTTACGTTCTCTGGGAGGAGCCTCTTATCAGGCTCTGGCAGGAAGACTTCAGAGCAATCAGCACCCATGTTAGGAAAATCAATGGAGGTGAAATTCCACCTGGATGTACGCATATCCTTATGGCTTTCCCCAAAGGTCTTCCTACATGTCTCTTTGTAGTCTTGAGCACAGGTGGGCAATTCGCCGCAGTCTCTTGTGACACTTGAAGATGGGACCAATTCAACATTTGCAATTTTGGGATCCGGTGTCTTTATTGTTGCTTTGGGTGAACCATCTGATGCAGAAGAACTGGAATTAGCATGACGGATCTTAGCCTTTTTAGGTGACCGTTCTTGGGATTTCTCAGATAGCTTGGGTGTCTTCTCTTGTGATCTTATAAAAAAGAAGAGGATAAAAACATGGGCACAGATTATCTGTTACTATCCCCGAATTATTCAAACACATTATTCATAAACTGTCTTTCGTTCAAAAGGATGCAAGTAATTATACCTCAGTTACTTTTAATCATTTTTTCAACCAATAATTCAGTCCATTCAAAAACCTCTAGACGTGTAAAATATTCAAACAACTCCTTAGTTGCTGGATCAAACTGAGGGTTTAAAAGTGACAGCTTTTGTTTGATCGTTGTGAACCAATGACAGGCAGCATGCAAGTTTAATGAAGTAAAACAGTTTAATTTCTTAACAGTTTATTAAACTAGCTACGTCAGTTGAATTCTGAACCACTTGAAGGGTCTTAACTATTTTTGAAGACAGCCCCATGATATTAAACATTCCTAGAGCATAAATCCACCATAGCAAGGCTATCCCTGTTCAGGAAAGGGCATTGCTATATGTCAGGAAAAAAATGCTAAGGGTTGATCTGTGTATTGAAATTTTGGATTAAGACATAATTAACGCTTTACCTGCTTCTTCAGTGGGTATGCACTTTCATCCAGAATACATCTAGTACCAAATTTTTAAACCTGCAAACCACCTGTTTACCAATAAAGTTTCCTTCTTCTCGAGACTTTAACTTACTTATCCATATTTATCCCTCTGCCAAATCCAGATAGTGATTTAGCATCTCCAGACCCTCCCTTGATTAAGGTAACTCAGAGAAACAAAACTTGGTGTTCCCAACATAATGATGATCATATTTCAAAGCCTTCAAAATGACTGACCTCATATGTACTACTTAAAATGGCAACAGGGTGATCCCCCTATAGTGTGTCACTCACAAGAGGCACTCCTGATTTTTTTTTTTTAAAGTGGGCAAGTCACACAGGTATGTCTTGTAATATATTTTTCTTACTAACTATAGCTAACTTTTTCTTTTTTTAAAATCAGGGACCAGAAATCTATGATCCTCAGGTACTCCCACTATAGGAAGTCCTTGACTTAACGACTGTAATGGAACCTGCCCATCATGGTTATAACTTGTGACAGTCATCAATATGTTCACTTACGTGACTAAGCAAATTTTCTGACCTTTTTTGCAGTAGTCATTAAGTGAATCTGCAGTTGTTAAGCGAAGCAATGGTTCACTACGGGCACGGTTTTGCCAAAAAACAAAAATAAATGCCAGTTTTGGGCAAAAACATTGTAGAATGCCATCATATTACCACAGAATGCTGCAAACATCATAAATATGGACCAATTGATATAAGAACATGAAATGTGGTCATGTGATCGCGGGAGGGGCACAATTGTCGGAACTTCAAATTCAGGACAAAAGTACCCTAAGAGGTCCGTCGTAACCTCAAATAGTTTCTCGGCAATGGGTTGTAAGTTAAAGACTGCCTGTAATGGGAGTACCTGTATATCACACTATCGAACATGTTGGCTGTGGTTGCTACAAATTATGTTCAGCAGTAACTGGAGAGCTACTCACTCTCCATCTAGAGCAAGAGACAAATATGAAGACAAGAACAAAACAGATGCATTTCTCAGTGCTTAATTCCATGCCCACCTAGGGCTAGCTTGTCAAGGCCATCACTCCCACTGCCCACATGCTTTTACCCGGGGCTGGAGCATCTCCTCTTGTGGCTGCTTCTCTCCCTGCTTTGGTAGTGGCTATCCAGATTCAGCTGCCTCTCATAAGGTGTTGGAACAGTGCTGTAAAAGAGAGATCCCCCCACCCAAAAAAAGATCAAAACAATCGGTTCAGAGACAGCAACAGGTCACACTAGAAAAGCAAACCTTTTCTCCTTTTTCTTCACTGATTAACCACCTGCTCAGTTAAAATCAAACAGAGAAGCAAAAGACTGAAAGAGAAATACAATCATCTCGGGAAGTAGGGATATTGAGAGGGGAGAAGAGGGAGCAACCGTGCAAAGTTAAAGAGATTCATAATGGACACAGTGCCAGGAGAGAGGGAAAATGATTGTCAAACAATTACCTGGAATGGAATCTCAAAACGATGTAACCCAGTCGCTTCAAGTGGCTATATACCTTACAATAGGGATGAAATGTAAGCAGTTCACATGAGAAAGGACTCTACGTTCTTTAGAGATTCAAATATCAAACCCTTTTTTAACCTGAACTGTTGTGTGAATGAAAGCCACCTTCCTATTGGTAGGTGGTTCACACATACAATGTCTCCCATATATACATACAGCACGATTTGTAGATGCTCCCAGTTGTTAAAAAGGTGTATCTATATCAAAGAGGCATTTAAATAGCCATTTGTCATGCAAACAAAACCTTGAATACATTAAAGTCAACTGCACAAAATCAATTTAACTGACTGAACTTGCAGCCTTCACAAAGCACAGAAAATTAGGGCTACAAGATCCACACCAGAAGGCAGCTGTGGCAAACTATTTCCATAAGGCTGCTAAGAAAACATAGGCATATCCATGTAGTTACTAGGAGTTGAGCCCCATTTGAGGGAAACTTTTCTTTTTTAACTTCCAAGTAAACATATAAAATTGTAGTACAAAAGTGATGGGACCCCAAAGCAACAAATGATACGGGGGTAGTTAAATGCTGCATCATTTTTAAAATTTAACAATGATCTCTTTTCATTTGAGTACAACAAACATTGGGTTTTTTTCCATCCGCCTAGAGAAGACCACAATTTTAACTGAGATTTTGTTCCCCTAAGTCTCTTAAGGATTCTAATCAACATTGAAGTCTCAGCTGAATAAACTTAAGAACACCATAGAAAGGTTTCACTGATATCTGCTCTCTTTTTAAAACAAACCGCCCCTTAAAAATAAGGAAGAGACTATATAATACATAATAATCAGATATTACAAGAGGCACAATTAAGTCTTTGCATAGATGAAGGTATGAAAAATTATTAACAAGTTATGTTCTAAATTATTAACAAGTTAAACAATGATGTTTTACATTCAACCATCAAGCTAAGGACACTTGCCTGAATTCTGTACTTTGGGCCTAATACTATATTTGCTCAGGCCATTCAGCAATATCTAGGTTGGACTGCAACTTGATATATTTACTGTATTTTTCAGAGTATAAGACGCACCTTTTTCCCCCCTAAAAGGGGATGAAAATTTAGGTGTGTCTTATACACCGAATGTAGCCCTGCCCACCCACTGGCCCCCACCCTTTGGCCTCTGCCTCCCAGCAGTTTACCTCCTTGCAGCAAACAGCAAGAAAAAATAGCTCCTTTCAGCTTTAGCACAGCCTAATTAGCACAAGTCTGGGCCTCCAGACTCTCAGCTGTTTTGCTCTCAGCTGTTTTGGGCAGGCCTCTGCTGCTTGCTGCAAGAAGGTAAATTGCTGGAGCAGATTTTTTTTTTCCTTGTGCTAATCAAGCTATGCTGAAAACGAAAATTAAAGTAAAGCAGGCTGTTTGCTGTTTGCTGCCATGAGGCAAAATTGCTGGGAGGCAGAGGCAGATTTCTTTTTCTTGTTTTCCTCACCAAAAAAAGTAGGTGCGTCTTATAGTGCAGTGCTCTGAAGTATAAGCACTGCACTATATGCTTATACTCTGAAAAATATGGTAAGTACCATTATTGATGCTTCAAAGGCATGATTAGAAACAGGTTTTTAATGAGTGATTTCCCCTTTTCAGTCCACTCTACTTTTTAAGGAATACCATCGATATCATACTGCAGAGTACAGGTAGTCCTCGACTTGCAACAGTTCATTTAGTGACCATTCAAAATTACAACAGCACTGAAAAAAGTGACTTATGATCATTTTTCACACTTATGACCATGGCAGCATCCCCATGGTCAAGTGATTTACATTTCGATGCTGAACTCACATTTATGACAGTTGCAGTGTCCCGGGGTCATGTGATCCCCTTTTGAGACCTTCTGACAAGCAAAGTCAATGGGGAAACCAGATTTGCTTAATATCCGTGTTACTAATTTAAGAACTGCAGTAATTCACTTAACAAATGTGGTCAGAAAAATTGTAAAACGGGGCAAAACTCTAACAAATTTCTCATCTAACAACATAAATTTTGGGCTCCACTGTGGTCATATGTTGAGGACTACCTGTGGTATTGTCTGTATTGTGAATGCTGCTGTCCAACGAAGCTGGACAGCAGCATTCACTGCATAAGCAGTTAACCTCAAACTTCAATGAAATATCCTCACATGCCCTTTCCCGTCAACTTAACTGCACAACTAATTGTGATAATGTAATTACAGCAGAATTGCCTGCTTTGAAATTTAATGCTTCTTTTAAACTGCCAAATTTCACTTCCATAGATGTTGAACTCCAAATTTCGAAATGCACCTGGTATTTTAGTAGGCTGACCGACTTTGGAGACAGCAGATCCTCATATGCTTCCTGGACTGACAAAGGTAGGTCTTTATAGAATAACTGAAGGGATCCCTGTAAGGAAAGAAAAAAATCAATGTTCAGGAACTGTGCAAACCTACCTTTGTGGCGATTGCCTCAGATATTCCCTGGGGTCTAAAGAGCTACATATACCAAGAGCTACACATGTCAATTGGATGTCTGCAGATATATTCCTCATGTAACAAGGGTTATTGGGGCCAAAATTTCTGTCCTTAAGTGATACAATTATAAAGCGTGATGCATCGTGACAGCATCGTTTAGCGATGACAATCCCAGCAGTCCCTACTCCTGTTGTTAAATGAGGATTGGGGGTTAAGGGAGGACTTCACATGATTACAACTTGGGTCTTTCTGTCAGTTTCCATCAAACAAACTCAATGAGGAAGAGTTGGAAGAGTGCTGCAATGCAAATGGGCAGGGTGTAAGTGTTGTAGCCTGATGCAAGGGAGGCCAAGTGTGGAAGCATGGCTTCTTGGAAGAAGCAGCAATGGGAGCAAAAACAACTTGCAACCTTACCCTCGCTTCCAAACGGACTTTACTTGTGGAAAGCCAGCAGGCAAGGTTGCAAATAGTGATCCCATGATCATGGGATGTTGCAAACATCACACATGTAAGTCAGTTATCATGTGCCTGAATCGCAATCATGTGATCACATGGATGCTATGAGAGCCACAACTTTGAGGATTGGTTGTTAAATTCCACTTGTTCAGTGCTTTGAACAATTGCTGAATGAGTGGTTGCTAACCTGTAATCTCAAGATACAGGAATTGGTTTTACAGTACAATATGGCTTATAGAACGATCACACAGAATGATCACACACGGACCCACAGAATGGGCCACTTGGGAGCAAATTCTGTAAATAAAACACCTGCAATGAAAATACTGCAGCAGCTTTGACGATACCCAATTCCAAAAACTGTACACTGGTATTTATAAAGTCATGTACATGTATATGTTTCAAACAGATGTGCTTTCTGCAGAAGAAATTAGTGTTGCAATATCAGGGAATGGGAGATGGGAACATTTCCTGCGAGTCTGCTTATCCCAACTTGCATGTTCATAAGAAAAGGTCTGACATGAAGAGGTGGCATTTATTCAGAAGATCTTCTGTGTAATCCTGATTGTGCAGGATTCTCAATCCTATGGAGATTGCAACCACTCTTAGCAGTGTGGTTACACTCTCATTTTAGACGTTCCCATTAGTACGAGGTTAAGACAGAGAGCCAACGCCCCTAAACAGATTTCTTCCTTCTCTTGAAAAAGTATTATATGGCTGTAGTCACTCTAGTATCCCCGCCTCCTAATCCTGTTTTCCAAATACTTAGACAGCTTTCTTTCTTAATTTACATGATTATTCTGTGGCAAAATTTGGAACTGTGTGTCCAGACAACAGAACGGGAGATGCTTAGCTACACGAAACTGCTTCATAAGCTTGTGGATGTGATTTACTTACACATTCCAGGAGATACAAGGCTTCTTCTGGAAGCAGGCACTGCTTTCCATGCTGTGTAAAACCCATGGTGTGCCAGAATTTCCCCTGATGGCAACAAAGAAACATTGTTAATTTAGGAGATCAATCCCAATCTTTATTAACATTTTAAAAAGAACAAAATAAGGCCAGGATTGTTGTTCTAGGAGATTTTCACTCTGTGATTCAGTCAGACCTTCTCTATCTGAATTAAGGCTGTACTGAAGAAGGGAATTTCATCCTTGTGCCAAAGGCTTGAATTATAATTAGGGAACATAAAACCCCAGAATTTTTGGTCTCTCAATGCACCCTATTGTATGTGTGTGGAGAACGTTAGCCTGATGTCCGGTTCTCCCAGGGATTGAATTATTGGAGGTGAGACAATAAGAATAATTCAATAACCTTGTTGTCTTAACTTTCAAAACAGCTGTCTTTTAGACCACTACTAGGGGGGACAGGAAAGAAATCAAGAGTAAAAGTTAACAGATTTCATTTGCTCATCCCATATCTTCTTTACCCACATATCACCTTCCAAGAATCATAGTTGGTTCCAGTATAAACAATGGCACAGCTACAAGCCAAACACTGCAAATACAATTTTTATTTTGAGCAATCTGATGAAAGAGAGAGGGCACACATTATTCAGTGGCAATGTCGTAACATGAAAACTGAAATCAATCCTACTACATCTGGCTCTGATCTGAAAGATGCCTCTGGCTACTGGTATGTGCTGCTCTGAGATAGAAGCTGGTAACAGTAAGTTATTTAAGAGAGTAGGAATGACATCATATAAAAGATACAGTAGTAAAACTTACTGCAGGGGATTTCAGTTCCACAATACCTTCCTGGGGCTTCCACTCAGCCTTCACCAAACTTCCCCTATAAAGGAAATTTAAAAAGAAGAGTTTCTATCTGTTCATTCTCCAATATTCTTGGCCATAAAAAAGGGTTAAGAAGTTATTTTAATTTTAACAGGAAGCAGAAGATTTACATCTTCTTAAAATAGGTACAGAGCAGCTCCAGAATTACTATGAATAAACAACAAAGCAGATTATTGAAACTTTCCCTTCCAAAATCCATGTTCTACCAGCACAGAACAGCTAATAGAAAAGACACAGATCTAAGAAGAAATAACTTGTGGTGTCTAGATTATAGAGCACTTACTAGGATTTTAAATAAGTTAAAAGAGAGTGAAGTTGAGGTTGCTTTCTGTGCTTTGGAAAAGCAGCTGTAGCCAAGCAGAAATGCTTCCCACCCCCACATCCCTCATGCCGTCATACATTCACTTTACTCACAAGCACTAAGCATCTAAGTTGCAGCTGCCTGTGATAATTGAGCCACTCCCTGGTGTTTTCAAGGATGTGCTGACGTCCAGAGGCAGCATCTTTCCACCTCAGGTTTACAAGAGCAAATGCTAAGACAGTGGAGAGGGGCGTAGGAGGAAAGGTGATAGCAAATAGCCTATAGAGGGGAAGTGGAAGTGGTGGCATGAGATTGGCTACTATTATGAGCTGGCAAGAGGACTTTCATTCAACTGCCAGGACCACAAGCTACTGTATATCCTGCTGGGAGTTCTGCTTAGAGCTTTGCCTGGAGCTTGGCAGCACTTAGAAAAGGGGCAACCACACTGAAACAGCACCCCATCCCAACCAGTGCAAGAACTTTTGGAAAAAGACAAAGAGTTGTATGCTAATTTGTAGACTTTGGAAACTTTTTTTTTTTTAAACTGAGTGTTAAAAGACTGGTATAGAGTATTAAAAACATGTGGTCGCAGCAACTTGCAAGTCCTAGATGGGTCGAGCTGACCCAAAGCAGCTTGTTGTTTGGGAAGGTAAGTGCTGAAATAGAATAGAATAGAATTTTTATTGGCCAAGTGTGATTGGACACACAAGGAATTTGTCTTGGTGCATATGCTCTCTGTGTACATAAAATAAAAAATATGTTCTAATAAATAAAGCATCGTGTGTAGATTTGCTATGCTGGGATTCCATTCCTTGGAAAACAAAAAACCCTCACCTCAATTTCATTATGAAATAGTTAGACTGTCAGGAAACCTTACAAAAGTCGTCCATGGCCCCTTATATGACATTAGTTTACTTCAGGGTAGATACCATGAAAAAGAGAAGCATCTCTCTATATATCTGATCGGCAGGTTTCACAAGAGACTTTCTGCAAATATCTGTAACCAGGCAGATTCATAACAAGCGAAGTGGCTTCTCAGGCAAACCCTAGGCGCTTGGATTTTTAAAGGGAAAACTTACTCCTCATATTTAACCCCCAAATTCCAAAATAGTGCAGACCTTTCCATATGTCAGATATAATCATAATCCCTGCACCAATCAACAATCTAATGGTCACATTTTGCACCAACTGTCGCATCCAGATGTAGCCCGTATGCCTCTTCATGAAATTTATATTCTATTTTTAAAAATTTTTAAATCAACATACAATATGTGCAAAAGTCTAGCTGTGCTTCAGCCAAAAGAATAATTCTTGTTAAGATCCACCCGTTCATGAGTGGCTGCAGCCTACAGGTAAAATCTAATTGCACAAATCTGCTACCATTTAGTAATCCTGGAACAATATAAGATTGACATATACAACTTTCAGAGGAAATGCAATTTCCTTGCATATAAATAAACCTCAACCCCTGAGCTGATTTTCTATTGACCAGAATCTCTTTTGTCTTGTTTGGATTTAAACAGTTTGTTGCCCATCATCCATTTAAATTTTGTAAACCTTGGTAGTACAGGGGTTTAAGGCACCCTGTTATTAAGCTTACTAAGACCAGCTGCCTGCAATTACTGCAGGGTTCGAATCTCGCCAAGGCTCAAGGTTGACTCAGCCTTCCATCCTTTCTAAGGTAGGTGAAATGAGGACCCAGTTTGTGGGGGCAATAAGCTGACTTTGTATAAAATATACAAAAGGATGAAGGCTATTGCTGAGCACATTGTAAGCCGCCCTGAGTCTTCGGAGAAGGGCGGCATATAAATCAAATTAAAAAAAAAAAAAAAAAACGGAGTCACTAGGGTATTAATTGGGCAACTGTATAAATTTGTTTAATAAGTAAATAAATAAATAAATATCTTGGTTAAGTCTAAAGTTCAATACTCTGGACTTCTATCTTGAAAGTATGTCAAGCTGTAACAAGGCTGAATGTGCATCATTGAGCCAGAAACTGGTCTAGTGGTTAAGGCTCCAGGCTAGAAAGTGGGAGACTCCAAGTTCAAGTCCTGTGTCAGCCATGAAAGCCATCTGGCTGACTTTGGGCCAGTCACTGTCTCTCAGCCCAACCCACCTCACAGGGTTGTTATTGTTGAGGGGAATATAGGAGCAGGAAGATGTGTTGGATATGTTTGCTGCCTTGAATTATTTACAAAAATAATAAAGGTTTGATAAAAATAAATAAGCATATATAAAGCTCTGAATGAGTATTCTCACCTATTTCATGTAAATATTGATCACAGAGAGTAAGGAAGAGTCTGTCAATAATGTTGACTAACAAATTTTCATCCTACCTTCCAAATCCAGATAGGAAGCTAGGAAAACCCAGAAAACATTGTGGTAGAGAGCTACCTCTCTGTTATTATATAGTATATAGCCTTACACATACCCACACAATCACAAAGGATACTATGGCCATTAATGTCAAAAGCATCTAATATTTCCAGCATTCCCCTTTTTATGTAGATCAGGGGTGTCAAACTGGATTTCTTCAAGGGCCGGATCAGCATTGTAGTTCTCCACAGGCCAGCTGGGGGAGGGGGGGAGATGGGATGGACACCTCCTGCAGGACTTTGCCGGCCAAAATGAGGTGTGTGGGGGGCATGTAAGCCCTGTTTTTGGCCTGGACGGCCTCCTGCAACACTTTGCTGGCCAATACGGGGCATAGGGGCCGTGCCCCCCGCCCATTTTGGCTGGCAAAGTGTTGCAGAGGCCATCCAGGCCAAAAATGGGCCATGCAGGGACCATGTGTGACCCCCCCCCGCACCCCATTTTGGCTGCCAGACGCGTCCAGAGGCTTTGCTATTTCCACGCAGGCCCTGAGGGCCTGATTTAAGCACCCCTGATGTAGATCAGACAACAAGAAAACAAAAATAGTCAGTGCCATATTTCAATTTAAAAACCTGACTCAAATGTGTCCGGACTCTACCTTTATCTCAGATTGTGAAACAACCATCTTCTCAGTTATTTAGCTAAGAACTGTGTATTTGAGAACTGCCTGAAACTCTCCAGTTTGCTGGAAAAAGAAAAGTTTTTCCCTTTCCTATTAACAGAGTCCCTTGTGTAGAACTGGAAAAGCTAAAAACATACTAGACAAAACATTTTAAATTAATTGATAGTTTAGTACTTTAGTTCTAGGCATAATTCATACATACAACCGCACAACACGCTCCTCCTCCAAAAGTTGCCAGTGTTCTTTCCGACATTGACGCAACTTCGATTCTTGTTCTTCTGCTCCATCAGGAATGAAATCTTTCTGACCAAGTGAGCGCTGAGGGATCTTGTGATCACGTGTTCGAGCTGCCAGCAGTTCTGCTGGGCTTCACGGGGGGAGGAATCGGGGGAGAGAGAAGGTAAGAATAATCACTTAAATATTCAATTTTTCCATGATGGATTCCTCCAAATATGCTAAACAGTAGCAGATCAGACCACAAGTCTATTTAGCCAGCACTATTTCCTATCATAGCCAATTCCAACAACTGCTATTACCCACTTTCTAAATATCCTATTATTCAACTTCCCCAAATCACCCCAGGTTTTAGTATAAAGATAATTTCCGTTTACAATGTAAGTACACACCAATGTTTCTCCATCTTGGCAACTTTAAAATATGTGTACCTTCAACTTCCAGAATTCCCCAATCGCCATACTTAAAGTTGCCAACATGGAAAATTGCTAGTATACACACTTCTAATCTTTTCTCTAAATTAAAAAGCTTAAATCTTGTGTCCTTTCAAGGAGAATTCCTGTCGGGGCCCTACATAACGTCTAGTTTGCATGTGTATTTTTGCCAAAATGTCCACCCTACATGGCTCTTTTGCTCATTTTAGGGAAATCCCTTTGGATTTCCTCAAACTCTCTTTTTGTACAAGTAGTCCTCAACTTACGACAATTGAGCCCAAAATTTATGTTAAGTGAGAAATTTGTTACGTGAGTTTTGTGACTTTATTTACATTTGTTAAGCGAATCACCGCAGTTGTTAAATTAGTAACACAGTTGTTAACTGAATCTGGTTTCTCCACTGACTTTGCTTGTCAGAAGGTCACAAAAGAGGATCACGACTCTGGGACCCTGCAACCATCATAAATGTTACTTGTTAAGCAACCAAATGTAAATCACGTGACCGTGGGGATGCTACAATGGTCGTGTGAAAAATAGACATCACTTTTTTCATCGATGTAACTCTGGTCACTAAGTAAACTGTTGTAAATCGAGGACTACCTTTACTTACCTTCCTTAATAGTCATTTACTTTTTAAAATAGTTTTATTTTAATTCATTTCACTACAGGGCAGAGAGACAGAACCGATCATGAAATAAATTGAAATCTATTTCTATTCTATTGTTGTGATGCTTTCTCATTTCTTTCCAGTTTTAGCATATATATATACTCTTAACATGCACACACACACTGGCATTCTGCTTTGCTCTTTTAGCTCCTGAGATTACTTGCTAATCTGCCTATCTCGACCTCTCTCTGCCTGCAATTTCTTATCCTCTTCTCTTCCCCCTCAATCCCTATAGGAGAAGCAGCCCCGCGAAGGCCAGACTATTGCAATTCCTAGAAAAAAAATGTGATTTCTGCTAAGAGAAAACGAACGAGTTCTATATACAATTGAAGTCATTTCTAGGGAGGGCGGGACCAGCTGAGCAAACAGAATGGGTGCGCACCACCCACTGAAAAGCACCCGTAGCCTCTTATTTCCTCCCTGCCTGGTTGAAACCACTGCTCCTGCATCGCGTGTGCAAGCGGGGCTTTCCTGGAGCAAAACTCCCGGCTTGCAGATGTCAGAACGGCCCGGGGAGGAGCCGCACGTGGCAAAGGCGCAGGAGGGAGAAGTATAACGCCCGTCCCTCCAACACTTCCGGCCTTCTCTCCAGCCACCCATCCTCCCCCCGCCCCCACCGGGGAGGGAGGCGGCTCCTTTAATCCTCCTCATCCCCACGCCGTTCCCTCCCTCCCTTGCAGATACCTGAGTAAGCGACGTCCGGCCGGAGGTTCTTCTTCGGCCTCCATGGTTAGGAGCCAGTTCGCAGCCTCTTCTTCGAACTTCCGCTCTTGCCCGCCTTGCCCGCTGGGTCCTAGTGCCGTAATTAATCAGGCTTCCGAGCCCCGCGGCTCAGAATCGGCGTGGTTCAAAACAATTCGTAGTCTCGGAAAAGAAAGCCGACCGGGCGGGCACTATCAGCGGGATAAACCAAGTTTCTAATCCAAATTCTGTTTCAGATGGGATTCCCGTCCCTCCATTCATCCAGTCAAGCGTTAAGCACAGAAGAGTTGCGGCACTTTGGCGTTTAGTCATGCTGACCACACTTGAGACTTTCAAGAAAAGATGGGACTGCCATTTGTCAGAAATGGTGTAGGGTCTCCTGCTTGAGCGGGGATGGGGGGGGGGGTTGGGGTTGGACTAGATGACCTATAAAGTCCCTTCCAACTCTGTTAATCTGTTAAACCATAAAGGAAGAAGTGTCATCACACAGATGTGCCTTGGTAATACAGTGGTCTAAGGCACCCTGTTATTAAGCTGGTTATTAAGACTAGCTGCCTGCAATTACTGCAGGTTCGAATCTCGCCAAGGCTCAAGGTTGACTCAGCCTTCCATCCTTTCTAAGGTAGGTAAATTGAGGACCCAGTTGTGGGGGCAATAAGCTGACTTTGTATAAATATACAAAAGGATGAAGGCTATTGCTTAGCGCATTGTAAGCCGCCCTGAGTCTCCGGAGAAGGGCGGCATATAAATCAAATTAAAAAAAAAAAAGATGTGGAGGAGCCTTTATTTTAACTGGGTATGGCTACAAAAGAAGGGCTAAGGGTGACATGATAGCAATGTTCCAATATTTGAGAGACTGCCACAAAGAAGAGGGGGGGGGGGTTAACCCATTCTCCAAAGCACCTGAAAGCAGGGCAAGAAGTAATGGATGGAAACTAATCAAGGAGAGATCCAACCTAGAACTAAGGCAGCAGAACAATTAATCAATGGACCAACTTGCCTTCAGAAATTGTGGGTGCTCCAACACTGGAAGTTTTTTAAAAAAAAGATTGGACAACTATTTGTCTGAAATGGTATAGGGTTTCCTGCATGAGTGGGGGTTGGACTAGAAGACCTCCAAGGTTTCTTCTAACTTGTTATTCTGGATGCCACTGCTAGATCAAATTGGGTATCCCAGGGCTCTGTTTTAGGCCCAGTACTCTTTAACATATTCATCAATGATTTGGACAAGGGGATAGATGGGGAACTCATCAAATTTGCAGATGGCACCAAGCTGGCAGGAATAGCCAACACTCCAGAAGATACGCTTAAGATACAGAAGGTTCTTGACAGACTTGGAACATTGGGTGCTATCTAAGAAAATGAAATTCAATGGTGAAAAAAGTAAGGTTCTACATTGTAAGTAAGGTTCTAAATTGGTCCCCGTGGTTAGTTATTCCCATATGTTCTCATTTCAAGAACAAGTTTTTAAATCTTTCCAGCTTAGTGTATTTCAGATGTGCAAGGCTTCACTTTCCATAATCCACAGCTAGCACATCTTTTAAATGTAGACTCAAGAGTTTCTTAGTCTAGTGAGAAGAAGGACTAGGGGTGACATGATAGCAATGTTCCAATATTTGAGGGGCTGCCACAAAAAAGAGGGAGTCAACCTATTCTCCAAAGCACCAGAAGTCAAGATAAGAAGCAATGGATGGAAATTAATTGAGAGAAACAACCTAGAACTAAGGAGAAATTTCCTAACAGTAAGAACAATTAACCAGTGGAATGGTTTGCATTCAAAAGTTGTGGATGCTCCATCACTGAAGGCTTTCAAGAAGAGATTGGAGAGCCATTTGTCTGGAATGGTATAAATTCTTCTGTTTGAGCAGGGGGTTGGATTAGACGACCTCCAAGCTCCCTTCCAAGTCTGTTATGTTAATTGTAGAGTCCAGCCAGATTGAACTATCAAATTCTATTGACAGGAGCTCTGGTGGCTCAGCAAACTAAAGCACTGTTATTAACATCCACTTACTTTATTTATTTATTTTTTTATTTTATTTTATTTATATACCGCCCTTCTCCCGAAGGACTCAGGGCGGTGAACAGCCATAATAAAACTGTACAAAATAGAATTTAAAAGCAGATTAAAATAATTAAATCATAGGCCGAATTTAAAACTCTCATTTAAAACCAATTTTAAAACCCCATTAAAACCAAATTAAAACCATTTATCCCATCAGAGCGGCTTGCTGGAATAACAGGGTCTTCATTGCACAATGGAAGGCACAGAGGTCGGGGATCCTTCGTATGTCCAGGGGCAATTCATTCCAGAGGGCAGGGGCCCACACAGAGAAGGCTCTCTCCCTGGGGGTCGCCAGTCTACATTGTTTGGCTGACGGCATCCTGAGGAGGCCCTCTCTGTGTGAGCATACCGGTCGGTGGGAGGCAATCGGTGGCAGAATGTGGTCTTGTAGATACATCTGTTGCCTGCAATTACTGCAAGTTCAAATCTCACCAGGCTCAAGGTTGACTCAGCCTTCCATCCTTTCTAAGGTAGGTAAAATGAGGACCCAAATTATGGGGGCAATAAGATGACTTTGTATAAATATACAAAAGTATGAAGGCTATTGCTTAACGCATTGTAAGCCGCCCTGAGTCTCCGGAGAAGGGCGGCATATAAATCAATTTTTAAAAAAAAAAAATTGTCCTAGAATTGAAGAGCACATGCCTCTGGCCTCATTCCTCAAACAAAGGAGCAAGAACTATTAAAATGAGAATAACTGCAAGAGAAGATCAACTTGGACTAAACATGCAGCATATTATTTCCAAGCATAAAAGAAGTGATGTCTCCTTTTTTCCACTCACTCCTCTTTACTTGTGTACAATATCTTGCCTTTTTTGATTGTGACCCTCAGGGTGAGCCTAGTCTCTCTTTTAATTGGCATGAGAATTAAAAGACTCTTATTAATGACTAGAGCTAAAAAACAGAAAAAAATGAATTTGTGAATTATGCTTTTGAGATTAGGATAGTTTATGAAAAGAAAATCATGATGTCACATTAGAGAAAGAAAAGATAAAACACATCTATAACTGCTGTCATGAAGATAAAAATCTGCTTCTTTAGAATCTTTTTCTATATTTCTGTTTTGTTCTTTATTACTTTTCTTTGTTCCTCCTTAATTCAAAATTTGTACTTTTTAAAATTCTGTTGAAAATGTATTCAATAAAAATATTTTAAAAATTAAAAAATCTTCAGCATTATTTTATATTTTTTTATCCTCCCTTTATTTTTATAAATAACTCAAGGCAGCAAACATACGTAGTACTCCTTCCTCCTCCTGTTTTCCCCACAGCAACAATCCTGTGAGGTGAGTTAGGCTAAGAAAGAATGAGTGGCTCAAAGTCACCCAGCCAGCTTTCATGCCTAAAGCAGGATTAGAACTCAGTTTCCGGTTTCTAGCCTGGTGGCTTAACCACTAGACCAAACTCTTTCTATATTTTTAGGTCACCTTAAGTATATTTAGAAACTAAAAGCGATCAATGGATGTGCCTGGTATATTTTGTGTCTCCATACACAATGGAGAACTGTAATGGTAAAAAGAACCCTGAGGAGAAAGCAGAGGAGAAGGTGAGGTGTCACCTGGTTGCTTTCAGGTAAATTGCTGTTCTTCAGGGTTCATAGACATGGCTTGTAAAAATCCAGATGACCACTAGATGGTAATTAAGGCTATGTTTTTGTTTTTCATCCAGATGTTTGCGGACCATATACAGTATGGTAACCCTAATGCTTTGGAACTGGTCACACCTAGCACGGAATATTTTATGAACAAATTAGTTGTTTCCAAAGAAGTCACTTTGTGACCTGGACTCCAATACAATATGCTCTCCAGTCAATGGGCTGCTCCCCCATGCACTCCCAACAAAAGCAACTTTACTCTTAACAATTTATCATTTTCAGCACAAAGAGGTGTAGGAAGTTAACACTCACTTTTACCCCACTTGGAGCAGAACCCAGAAGGATATTTCTTCCTACAGAGGAAAGACCCAGAATTTTCTGGATTGGAAAAGAGCAGGCCAAAGAACATTTTTTGCTGAGCTTAAATTAATAAACTATTAGGAAATTGTTGTAGGTTATAATAACAGAATCTTGAAAGCCTGTCCATTTCTAAATATAGTGTCTGTTTCTAAATATAGTTCTCACCTTTAGCCATGGCATGGATTGTGGTTTAATTCAATGTAATTTGGCTCTAATTCTGGCCCAAATACACTGTAGAATGACTCTGGAAAAATTATTTGAAGTTTGAAGAAGTGAAACCCAACCCAGTACCATTATAAATGTTCAAATCAGGGGCTCTCTGCAGGTGGAGGTCAGAAAGTCAAGATAGCACAATTGCAAATATGTCCCTTTTTAACTTGCATCACATGTGAAAACAGACCAGACCTTTGATCACACAGTTGTGGCCATTTTTTTTTTTTTTTTTTTTACTCCATGAGGATCTCAGCCTAGACTAAATGAAAACTGTCCATGTGTGTTAGAAAAATGTAATTCCTAGTCAGGTTTTTGTGAATTTAAAGACAGTTTGAGAATAACGAGATTACCTAAAAACAAATTCTTGTTTCAAAGTAATCTCTTAACTTTACTCATAAGATGAATATAATAGATTTATAAAGCAAATAGTAAGTTACTTACTATGCAAATTATTTTATACTTGCTAATGATAGCTGTAAGGAAAGCTATGGCAAATCTAGATAGCTTACTAAAAAGCAGAGACATCACCCTGCCAACAAAAGTGTGTATAGTCAAGGCTATGGTTTTCCTAGTTGCAATGTATGGCTGTGAAAGTTAGACCATAAGAAAGGCTGAGGGCCAAAGAATTGAGGCCTTTGAACTATGGTGCTGGAGAAGACTCCTGTGAGTCCCTTGGACTGCAAGGCGATCAAACCGGTCAGCCCTAGAGGAGATCAACCTTGACTGCTCTTTAGAAGGCCAGATCCTGAAGATGAAACTCAAATACTTTGGCCACCTAAAGAGAAGGAAGGACTCACTGGAGAAGAGCCTAATGCTGGGAAAGATTGAGGGCAAAAGAAGGGGACGACAAAGAATGAGATGGCTGGATCCGGGGTGGGTTCTACTTACCTTTACTACTGGTTCGCAG